CATTGTGTCAAGCACATTTGTACATACGATGCCATCATCCTTTTCAAAACATTTTTTTTCTACTTGAGCCCTTGGTATCAGCCCCTCATTTCCCCCCCAAAATATTGATAAATTATACATTACTATTTTCATATCTTACACTGTCCACTGTCTCCCTTCACCCATGTTTCTGTTGTTTGTCACCCTGGTGGGGGCCGTGTCTCATACGGTGATCATTGTGATCGCATGGTATCGCTACTCCCATTATTATACCTGAGGGGTTTATCTGTCATGAATCTGTACCAGTGTATATGCTCTGGTCTAGACGAATTTGTAAGGTAAAACTGGGGTCATGATAATTGGGGGGCGGGAGGAAGAATTAAAGAACCAGAGGAAAGTTGTATGTTTCGTCGGTGCTATACTGCACCCTGGCTGGCTTGTCCCTTCCTTGTTACCCTTCTGGGAGGGGATGTCCAGTTGTCCACAGATGAGCTTTGGGTCTCCACTCCGCATCCCTCCCACCTTGTTCACATCGATATGATTGTTTGTTTGGGATCTTCTGATCTGGCAGTGTTTCTGCTTTTGTCTACTATGGGCTGCTAAGCCAGCAAAGTTCATTAGACTTCGGTGTAGACTGTAAGTGAGGATGCTATAAAATTAGGCTCTTCCAGGAATAAAGTTCATAGACTATACCTATTCCTCATTAGTTATATTGCTATCAGACATTTGGCATTTACTACAATGTAAGAAATCTACCATTTGACTATTGTACAAGTTAACAGCTTATGTCTACTGAACATTAAGGTGTGAAGTGAGAATAATGCCGGCTGTGGTAATTAAGGTTATAAGTCAACTTGGATGACCATAATTCTCAGTGTTTTGGCAGTTATGTAATGGTATTTGGCAGGTATGTAATGATGTCGTTTGGCTGTTATATAATGATATAGTCATCTTTCATTTTGAGTTCTGATGAGGTCATCCTCTGTCTTCACATAACACGAATTTTTAAAAATAGACCTTGTCTTTGTAGCTTAGTTGTTGATAAATGAGGAATGATGTACTCTTATTATGATTATGATTACTATTTTATTTACTTGCTTATTGTTATTTTATTATTATTACTATGATCAATCCTGTTATTCTATTTGACTACTAGACTCCAGACCTTTTTAATTTCCTGTTGGAATTTTATATCATTCGACCAGTTTGGGGGAGTTGATACTGATTTTGTTTTCAAACACATTGAAACTGACATATCAGTGGGACTTTCTGTAGAGATGTCTAAACTGAGAGCTCTGCTGAGCCAGGAGAGCAGCCTGGGAGGCTGTGGAGTGCGGGAACTGGGGCTAGTCCAAACTGAGGTGTGTTGTCCTGTAAAATACACATTCAATTTCAAAGATGAGTCTCAAATATTTATTAATAACTCTAATATTGATTACACATTGAAATGATAATATTTTGAATATATTTAGTTGAATAGACATCATTAAAATTAATTTAATCTTTTTAAATTGTCTTTTTTCCCCTTTTTAAGTTTGCTACTAGAAAACTAAAACACACCTTCAATGACATATATGGCTCCCCTGATATTTCTGTTGGACATTCCTGGATGAAGTTTGGAGAGCTGTGTCTTTAGAATAGATACAGGAATGAAGACTTAGGGACAGAATGAGGACTCTTACTGTGAGGACAGAGTAACGGTGGGGCATGGAAATCTGCAGTCTAAGGGGGCTTTACAAAGTTCATGGGAAAAAATGGAATTAAAAGATAAAGGAATCTTCCCACAAACATTTTGAAGCTCTCTTGTACATATTAGTAGCTATATAATTGTCATTAAATTCGAAGGAAGAAAGCAAGAGGACAAAGCAGAGTATGGAGGAGGAGGACCAGGAGAAAATAATGTGGTGGCAGCTACTATTCCGGCATGAAATCGGTGGTGCTAGGAACCACAAGGCATGCTTAGGGGGAAGATGCCCCGGGAGGCAGTGATGGTTCAGTGGTAAAGTCCTTACCTTTCATGCAGGACACCTGAGTTCAAGTCCCAGCCAGTGTACCTCATGCTCAGCCACCACCCAGCTGTCAGTGGAGGCTTGCATGTGGCTAGGAAGCGGAGTAGTCTCAGGGGAGCTTACAGATGAAGGTGGGCTCAAAAGAAAGGCCTGCTGAATCGCTCATGAAAGCCAGCCGGGGAAACTTCGATGGATCACAATGGCCTGATCCACAGTTTATCGTGGGGATGGCAGTTAGTGCTGCTGGGCAGGCTAATAGGGCTGCCCTGAGTTGAGGGCCATCTCATCAGAAGCTTCCACCAACGATGAAGATGGCTGGGAATCTGCTAACAGAAGCACCCAGGGTCTCTGCTTGCCTTCCCATCTGTCTGGAACCGTGTCGGCCTTCTGAGGCCCCTTAGTGTGAGACTGAAGCTTTCCTGGGGATGGAACCAAGAGAGGGGACTGGGTGGAAATGGACTCTTGGCCTCATCCCTGGGCTCTGGGGGTGCCAGCAGGCATGTTTAAAGCAGAAACAGGAGGATGGAGTTGCCTTTCCTTCGCTCTCCTCTCAGTGTGGAAGGGGACCACAGGGGCAGGCAAGGAGGCCAGGGAAGAGGTGTGGAGACATAGACCTGATTTGCATCCGTAAAGATGCTGATGTTGGAAGCTGGCATCCATCCCCTTGACTCTTCCACTTGTTAAGATCCTTCCCACCCAGCAATAATTTAGCTGAAACTTCACCTTCTCCAAGAGGTCTTCCCTAGCCACTTAGTACCCTCTGCTCTTGCTTCCCTAATTCCTGCCGCTTTTATAGTTTGCCACTGTCTTTTATTCTGCCACAGATCCTCAACAACCACAGGAATGGAGACCTTTGGCTGATAGACATGTTGGCAAATGCCCCGAACTTGCAGGTCATTCCATTGCTAACAAGTCAATTCTGACTCATAGCGACTCTGTGGAACTGCCCCATAGGATTGACAAGGCTATAATCTTTTTAAAAATCATTTTATTGGGGCTTCGTATAACTCTCATCACAATCTATCCAATCTATCCATTGTGTCAAGCTCATTTGTACATTTGTTGCCATCATCATTTTCAAAGCCTTTTCTTTCTACTTGAACCCTTGGTATCAGCTCCTCATTTCCCCCCTCTCTCCCTCTACCACCCTCCCTCCTTCATGAACCCGTGGTAGTTTATAAATTATTATTATCATGTCTTACACGGACTGATGTCTTCCTTCACCCACCTTTCTGTTGTCCATTCCCCTGGGAGGGGGTTTTATGTAGGTCATTGTGATTGGTTCCCCTTTTCTCCCCCCCACCTTCCCCTTCCCCTCCTGGTATTACTACTCTCAATATGGGTCCTGAGGGGTTTATAGGTCCTGGATTCCTTGTATTTCCAGCTCTTGTCTGTACCTGTGTACATGCTCTGGCCTAGCTGATTTGTAAAGTAGAATTGTGGTTATGATGGGGAGTCGGGGGAGCATTAAAGAACTAAAGGAAAGTTGAATGTTTCATCGGTGCTACACTGCACCCTGCCTGGCTCATCTTTTCCTTGTGACTCTTCTGTAAGGGGATGGCCGATTGTCTACAGATGTGCTTTGGGTCTCCACTCTGCACTCCCCCTTATTCACAATGATATGATTTTTTTGTTCTGGGTCTTTGATGCCTGATACCTGATCCTATCGCCATCTCATGATCACACAGACTGGTGTGCTTCTTCCATGTGGACTTTGTTGCTTCTCAGCTAGATGACCACTTGTTTATCTTGGCTATAATCTTTATGAGAACAGAAGGCCACATTTTTCTCCCATGGAGTGGCTGGTTGCTGACCTTTAGGGTTGGTAGCCACGTGCTCAACCACAGTGCCACTAGGGCTCTGTCTGTTGACAAATACCACATCGTTTCTCTCAGGACATTAAGGGTGCAAGACAGCCAGCTGGACATGGGCCTCAAAGCATGTAGAGTTCAGACAGGGCCTTCTGTGGAGTCACACACCACTGGGGGCTTACTCTTGGAAGGGTGATACAATGACTTCACCCATCGTATACTGGGAGTTGGATTCTGCCCTCTCCTTGTTCCGTTAGTCTTCACTCCCTAACTCAACTCTGAGGGTTCAGCAGAAACACTCGACTCTTCTTGATCCGAGAAGATTCTGCTACCCACAGCACCATTGTGTATAGGCAGTAGGCACAGTATAAAACTTGCTCTAGAATGACAGTGCCACAAGGGTCCCAGTGAGGGTGGCTGTCAAGTTCAACACTGTCTCCTGGGTCTGTGGCCCTTCCCACCTAGTTGCTGTGAAGTCAGTCCCAACTCCTGACGACCCCATGTGTGTCAGAGGAAGACTGTGCTCCATCTGGTTTTCAGGGACTAGTTTTTAAGGAAATAGGTTGCCACGCCTTTCTTAGAAGGTGCCTCTGGTTAGCAGCCTAACACATTAACCCAGCACACAGCAGATGCTTTGATAAATATTTGGTAAATGAAGGCGGGCGTGACCGGAGCAACTCTTATTTGAGGAGCACATGATTTTAGTTGGTGCATTTTGTTAGCTGGACTAGTTATGGAAAAAGAGCCTATTCGTTATTGATATAATGAATGGTAAGCCAAAGGATTTTAAAATTGTGGCGGGAGAAATAAGGCCAAAGACAACATGGAGTAAGATTGAGCTAATGCGGAACCCCGGGGTAGTAGGGATGATTCAGGATGTTGGTTGAATTGGTTGAACTCCAAAAGGATGTTGGTTGGATTCCCTCGGAGGCACCTTGAAGAAAGGCCTGGTGGTCTACTTCTGAGCAGACACCCATTGGACACCGTGGGATGCAGGTGTCCTCAACGCACAAGGTTCTCACAAGTCAAGGGTGGGCATGATGGCAGCTGCTCTGTTTATGTCTTTGAGGTTCGGATAAGTCGGGAACCATCTTTAATATCTTGTCACACATGGTGTGCTGGGGACTCTGAAAAGAGAGAAAGTTCATTATACTTCTTTTTCCCTTTTCTGTTTGTGTCCTTTCAGATTCACCAAAACCACCAGTTGCTCCCAAGCCAAAGACTACCAGCCCCGTCAGACTACTCACCACACCCAAATTCCCTTCATCACCCCCACCTGACAGTCTCCACAGTCCAAACTCTATGTTCAGGGGCCCAAAGCCCCCCATCGCCCCCAAGCCCAGGCTGGGTGCTCCCCACGAGTGGCGAGCCAGCGTGTATATCAACAACAGCTTAAACAAATGCAGCAATGGGAAGCTGCTCTGCGTAGACAGAGGGCTTTACGAAGGGCACCAGTCCAACCTGGAGTGCTCTGAGTCAGAAGTGGATGAGGACTACATCGTGGCCCCCCAAGCTGCCCTCAGAGAGGGCCAGCTAGTGGATGGGGGCTCTGTGGAGGATGACGCCCTGGTGCCTCCAGCTGTTCTTGGGGACGAGGAACCCATGGAGGAGGGAGATGAGTGTGACGTGGAGGGGATGGGAGCCAGCGAGGACGTGGCAGCCCTGGCTGAAGCGGAAGTGAGTGGTGAAAGTGATGGAAGTGTGGACCAGGCTCTGGAGAGCGCAGCTGGGGAGGAGGACAGCAAGGAGGCAGGAGAGCCAGAACTCCCACAACAGGAAGAGGTGAAGCTGGTCGAAGAACACGATGCATCTAACTGGGAGGACAAGGGACCTTGGGACAAAGAGGAGGTCTTCGAGAATGCTATCATCCTGACCCAGGTTGAATCGGAGGATCCAGTGGCCCCTGTTGAGGCACCCACCCTCCCTGAGACCCCCCTGGGGCTGGAAGAGGACAGCAGGGAAGACTGTGCCATGGCAGAATCAGGGGACCCAGATGCGGAAGTGGATCCCAACCCTCCTACGGAGGGGGATGCTGCAGATGCCAGTGAGGGGCCCCCTGAGGAGGAGGAATTGGCCTCGGATGTCCAGGGGGCAGAGGTGGCTGTCGAAAACCTGGACGTCCCTAAGGAGCTTGGCGAAGATGCCACCGAGGGTGGTGGCCAGGCCGATGATGCTCATCCCAACTCCGTGGAGAGCACCCGTCAGGAAGAAATGGCAGTCGTCCAGGAGACGGATGAGGACACTCAGAGAGGTGAGGACACTGTGCAGGTACAGGAGGAGGCTGCCGAGGAGAGCTGCCATATTGTTCCTTTTGAGAATGACTCTGTCGACGGCTTTATGGCTTCCCTCACTGGGAGCCCCTATGAGTTCTTCCCGACGGAGAGCAC